TACCTGGGCACATGCAGGTCTCAGGGTGCTACCTGTCCTGTGCACGGTTCTGGCGAAGCATGAGCAAACTGGCTACAGCTCCACAACACGCTTGAACAGCGCTCTGGAGCACGGACAGGGCTTCTCCTCCTCCCCAAGGCGTCACTCCTACGTCAGATGCAACCAGAGGCTCCCAGCGCCGATCACGTCCCGCCTCCCAGCCACTTCCCCCACCCCCGCCAGGGTTCCATCCGGCGCCCCGCCGGAAAACCAGAAAATACAGAACATTGCACATCTACGGTATTTTCTGAATGTTTTTACCAGACAGAGTGCTCCAAAACCAGACTATCCAGTTGAATACCGGACACCTGGCAACCCTAGCTTGGGCTCATCTCTAGATGTATATTTTTAAGTGAAACTGGAGTTTTACATGCTACACTCAGGGAAGCCAACAGACTTTCCAGGCCCCTGGACAAGGGAGGGCTGTCTCTGCACTACTGGAAGGAGTGGGGCGGAAGGGTAGGACTGGGGGCGATTTAAAAGACCCAGAACTCCAGCCGCCAGTGCTGTAATAGCGGTGACTGATGCCCCCGGCCCTTTTAAATTGCTGGGCCCCAGGGAAATTGCTCCTCCACGACCACTCCACCCATGCTGGCCAGCCTGGCTACACTTGAGTTTGAGGCAAACTTTTTTTGTGTTTTACGGTCTAGTCTACACAACAGGAACAAGCATTCCCAATGGGAAGCGCCGAACAAAAATCAGCACTGTGGAGAGGCTTATTCATCCCTTTTTGTTGTACAGAGATGGGCTGCTAGGTTGTGACTGTAAATGTTATTGACAATATGAAGGCCTCAAGTAACCAAATCTTTTTGAGCTGCAGCGCAGTGGCAAGGCCAGAAAGTGATCTAAAACCAGGAAGATTGATCGGGTCAGTAGAGTTGCCCTCTCCTCTCCCCACCCCAAATCATTTTTCCTTTCCTCTCCTTTCCCCACCCCAAATCATTTGGCATCACTTTTCTTACAGAACATTGCATCTATTTATCCTCAGAACTTAGATAACCACAGGCACCATAGAATCCGAGTGCCTCATAGTCTTAGATGTATTTATTTTCCCGGCACTATTCTGTCAGTACATTATTTTACTGAAAGGAAACTGAGGCACAATGAGACTAAATGACTCAAGGTCACCCCCAAAGTGTGTGGGAAAGTAGAGAAATAAGCCCGTGTTTCTTAAATCCTAGGCTAATGCCCTAACAACTGGACCATCCTTAATCATAGAATCATAAAATCCTAGGGCTGGAAGAGACCTCAGGAGTCATTGGGTATGTCTAGACTACATGCCTCTGGCGACAGAGGCATGTAGATTAGGCTATTGGACATAGTAAAATGAAGCGGCGATTTAAATAATCTCCGCTTCATTTAAATTTACATGGCTGCCGCGCTGAGCCGACAAACAGCTGATCAGC